CTAACTTCAACTGACTCATGATTTCAACCTGTGAAATTTCTAAAATTCTCCACAAAACCCATTCTCATATATATATCTCAATCAAATAATTGTTTACTAGAGAATGAGAAATCTCTGTGTTGCAGACATCCATTAAGCATAAGTTCAATCCCTTAAAATATTCTTGAATTCAGTTTTGTTCTTATTGAAAAGAATTCACAAATAAATGTGTGACATGTCATACAGCATCAGCTTGACCAAAACGACATGACAATCACATGTTCATACCTATATTGATTATGGTGTTACCAAAAGTATTCTTCATTGTTTCCATTGCTCGACTGAAACTCGTAGTTATTTTCTTTTAGTAATCTATTTACTTCTTCGAAATAAATAACTTCGGGAAACAAAACGTCAAAAATGCAGATTCCTACTCACTGAAATATCACCAAAATATTTTCATGGTAAACTTTTTGACCGATGCTCACTCCCCCCGAAACAGTTAAGTCCAACCTTCATAGTTATACCTACGTGACATCTAATGTGTTGTGTAGCCTAAGTGTGTGACTGATATGTTATTTAAAACTGCTTGCAATGATATACATATCAAATGAACACATTTGAAGTTAGTGAGAACTGACCGTGCCCTTTCTTTGCTAACGAAATTGGATGAAATCTGTTTTCTCTCCCTTGTCTCCCAACCTTTTGAACTATATGATAGGTCTCCACATTTCGATTGTCTTTAGAACGTTACATGAAGAGAACATTTTATATCTTTAATTTCTGCATGATCACCTGTAATTTCCAAGACAGTTTTCGCTTTTGTTATCCAGTGGGGTTTCCCCGTGTGGGTTCGAACCCCATCCCTTTTCCCAGTTATTATAGCTTGTAGGTTTGTGCCCCTACCAATGTATACCGTGATAATACCGCCAATTAGAGAACAGTGAATTACCAATCGGAGTTCTTATCGGTCCTGCTTCCCGCCTAGCTCCACTTGGTGAGTCCATAGCACCAATCTCAGCCCCTGAGATATGAATCATTTATTCCAAACATACTGGGTTTACATACTAACCGAACAGACCACACCGTATCATAAAATAGGGAACAATATTTGTACAAGATTTAGCCAATTGTGGCTGTGAATAAGGCAGATAGTAATTGATGAACAGGGCATAGCTCAAGAATGCTAGATCGTATAATAATAGTTCATCGGTCAAAATGAAGCTCATAATAAGAGGGACACGAATATGAATAGTTTACTTACTTAACAATTATATGATAAAAATATACGTATAGTATTGGTTCATAAATGGATTTTAAAAGTTACCATTCATTGTTTTTATCGGGATATAACACTTTCATAACATGACAAGATTTTATCACTGCAGTAGATCGAATGCGTGTACACTGGTCAGCTTGAAAAAATTAGAAGCATAACAAAATGTTCCAGACACGTATTTAGCTAAATTAGCTATTCTAGAATGCTTGATTTTGAAAACGTTTAATTGTAAATAGATTTATATATTGTTCCCTCTCTATCTGCAAAACACATATCGTAGTACTTCATCATCATTTGTCATCTTGTTTCAACACGGTCATCATATATCATGAGAGTATTCCTAGTAAATTCCTGATCAAGAGACTGATTTCAATCTGGATCAAACTCAAGAAAATTAATTCCAAAAATGTATCCAACATATCAAAATGACGTTTGTGTGTATAGTTGATATACATCATATGTTTTTTTATTGTTTAAAGAAAACGAGATAAGATGAAATGGAAGAATTGTGAGATAAAACGACTAACAAGAGTGACAATATATATATTGAGGAGAGTAATTTAAGTGTGCCGCGACGTTTAAAATAGGTCTGTCAATACCCTAGAAAACTAAATTTTGCATTCACAGATTTCATATTGTATGTTGTTAGAATCCGTCAAATCGCTGATCGCCTATCTCTAGTCCTTTACTATGGATTCTTATTATCGACAGATGTACATCGCGAGCTTGGAAATTAAATTAATCGAAACTTGAAATTAGTCTGATTGGCGATTTCAATGCACCACTAGATAGAAATTATTTCATTAAACTGATAACATTCAGTTTAATATGATTTGGCTATCTTATTTGATTTGGGATTGATCGTAGTCTGCCATTGATAGGAAGTACTGGTCGGTGTGAAGTAAAGAATTCATCCGTCTCTGCACTAATCCTTTTGTAAAATTACTGATTGGACTCATACAATTCAATGCATTTTCATTAACATGTGATGGTTGTGGTCAGTCATTTCATCAGTGTTGTAGATGTGATCCAATTTCTAAAATTGATCCGTAAACATGTTCTCATATATCAATCATTCCTTATTTTAGTAATCTAACGTTTGCTTCTTTCACATACACAAACACAGCGTGTGCCACATTAAAAATGTTTATTATTATTATTATCAATGGCTTTATTCAATAGTTTGTTTTTGGCATAATATAGAATTCTGAGCACAAATTATTTCACCAAGTTTCTTTTACTAAGAGAGAACGGAGTGAGAGAAACTAATTACTGCATACATGCATAAATTATGTGGATAAACTACCTGGATAGAATAAACGAAATGTTTCTTCTTAAGGAAGATTTGAATCTGTACAACATTTGAATTAGAAACATGTTTAGAATATATGTTTCCGACTAAGTCAGCTCTAGCAACCTGTTTGTCACGTGATATATTCGCTAGATGCAGTAATATTTGGATTTTATAATTTTGCATGTGTGCATGGATTTCTATGTATTTTCGTCTCGTTCTACCAGAAGATATACAAGGTAAAAGTGACAAATGAAATTGATGTTTAATATCTGATCAGGTAACACCTGTCATTAGTGTGTGAGATTATAGATGTCTTTCCACAGATGTACTAATAATGACCATGAGAGATTCACCACACACCCTACTAACTGCCTTCAGCACTCTCTTCAATACAGTGAAGTATCTTCTCGAAAGCATGGGAAAGATTAATGGAGAACAGTAGAGAATAATAGGTGATCTGAAAGAATGGGCAAATCGTTGGATTAAATGTCGATTAATGCCGAAATTGTACAGCCTCTTTATGTAGTAAATCAGACAGTAAATGTCATTCAATAACAGTGCAATTCATGTCTCAGGTTAAATTTAACAGTTTGTTGTGTTCGGATTAACAACAGACCACAATTCCATACGAGACAAGATCTCATTCATATCGATGGGATATCGAGGTTGAAACCAGCATACATACAGTGAGGTCGTTTGCATATTTAACAAGTGTTCTTTGTGAAAGATGACAGGTTATGCAAAAAGATGTTCTCTACTTTTCGATGTTATTTAAATTCTTCGTCATAAATTTTCTTTAACCTCCACTATCAGTCTCTTGACTAGTGACACATTCTCTAAAAGATATTTATATATGGCACTATGAAGAATAAAGTTAGGTCACACCGCTTCATTCGACAGAAACACGTTAAGACAAATTGATAGAAATACATGCATCTAAATGTACTTTAACATAGAGATCACATGCAGCGGTAAGTCAATGATAATAAAATGATCTCCATTTTAAATCGAAATATAAACACTAAATTCACTTCGAATGTGCGATAATATAAGTTTGACATGTCAGGTGAGTGAGTAGTAGATGTTAAATCCAGTAGATGACAAACTTAAAAAAGAGGCATTTACTTCTCATATTTTCCAACGAATCGTGTGAGATATCTGAACAAACGTCACAAAACTTATAAGTCATGCTTGAACCTCTAGAATTTTACAAAGCGTTTCAGATACCTCCTCATTATTTTCTTTTTAAAAGAATATTTCCTGTTTAATTGATCTTGAGGCAATCTGGAAAATAAAGTTTCATCAGATAACGCCATGAGTTTAGTTGATCTACAGAAAGTAATGAAAAGTACAAGTAACCTGTTTGTGTTTCTACTTGAAAACCATCTTATTGATGATTTATAATAGAAATATTTCTGAATGATCACAGTTCAACTGACATAGATCGTGACTTTATTCGAGGCTGTAAAATTTTATGAAGATTATGAATCACTTGATTATTCGGTTTTACCAATCAGTAAGATCAGACGTTATAGCATCGACGTTTGCAGTGTATATTACCACTGAAATGAACATATTTGTCTGCTTTTCAAACAGAAATATTCACATAATGAGCTCAACATTACAGATTCGAATTACGAATTATTCGAGTACGTACTTGTTGACAATATCGAGTTCTAGTCAAATACCATACATTTCAACAATGCTATGTATGCACTATTGTGATGGTTTGTGTGTTATTCAGCTAGGGTTTTGTTTGTACTTAGAAATGTTTAGCGCCTTAAATTCAAGAAGAGCTATACGAATTTGCTGACTTTTGTCCTTCTTAAAGAGGTTTTCCGTTGACTGACCATAACTGAAAATGAATTTCCAATTTATTTCCCAATTTATCAACCAATCAGGAAAATCATGCACAAATATAGGAACGAAAATTAAACCAATGGGAGACACAACCAAAACAAAGAAGTAAAAAATGACAAATTTAAGGTCAATAAGAACCAATCAACATCGAGGTATACAGAACAAGCTGTGAAACGCACATGGAGAAATTCGAACACTTCTCTTCTATCTGAATTTTGTGCTGATGTTGTCGTTCAAAAGAACGATGAAAGCTTCACGACCAAACCATCCAGCTCAGAGAACAAAACCCCATTAGAACAAAAGTTACGTGGATTAATATTTATCGTTCATTTTACAAAATGAACGTGGAATATACTCGTGAAATGTCGATTAGAACTGAATACTGACAATAGAGTAGATAAACATTCACATGAATGTGAATGTGTATTGGATAAGAGCCATGAAGTTATTACAGTAATAAACATAAATCACTTATGATTAATAAAACTGTACACTTAATTGACACGTGAATGTCATATTTTCTATCATATATATTAAGCATAAATGTATAAAAGAATTATCTGCTTACTAAATCATCAAAATAACAAAATGAAACTATCTACTACAGATTGTTTAGTTGTATTCTGTGTGATCCATCTAATGGTTACAGATCCTATTTGTAAGTTAATCAAATGTTAATAATATAAGTGTACTTTATCTATAAAACATTAAACTATCAATTCATTTTTAATAAAAACATCTGAATAAAATTAATTTGGTGTTATTTTACTTGTATGTTCGCATTGTTATTTAAGACTCAATTGGCATATGTGCATTTGATGCGAATTGCATCTATATAGTCTTCAGTCACAAGCTTTTTAAACAAAGATGGATAGTGGCTAGCAGCGGAATCCAGGACGCGCGTTTAGTCCTATTTGAGTGAAGTTGCAACAAGCTGATGAGTCCCAAATAGGACGAAACTCCCGTCCTGAATTCTACTGCTAGACACTATCCATCATTGCTTACAAATAGATTGTGAATTAAGGCAGTATCGAGGCATACGCATAGTATACACATATGCCAATAACAGAATGATCAATTGCAGTCTTAAACCTCAATTGGATGATACAAGACAAACAATATTAAGTGAATTCAAATTCACCACATTGCACAAGCAAGTGGCTATCAGTTCTCAGTAGTTGAGTGTATAACGCGATGGCATTTGGAGCGAATGGTACTGGGCTCGAGTCCCAGAGTGAACATCAACTCTGAGATGCAGGTACATCCAGCTGACGAGTCCCGAATAGGGTGAAATGCGCGTCCTGGATTCCACTGCTAGCCACTATCCATCTTTGCTTAAAAAACATTTGAAAAATAGTCGAAAATTTATATTATAAAAATTATACATAATCACAATCCAAAATCATACGATCCTCATAGTCCCTGAGATACATTAGCTTATATTTTTATGATTCTACAAAAGTTAGATTAGTTTTTCTGGCTTAGTGGTGTTCAAATCATAGTTAGATATGCTTCCTTTATTTGAAGGTAGTGAACTGTAAAAGGTTTTAAAATGTTTCATAGGGTTGTTTATTTTGACCTCATAATATTACAAATCCATTAATTATGTTAGAAACCATGGTTTAGTTTTAGTTTGAAAATGATTCCATTCTACACAATCGTATAGGATTTATAATTCCACTGACTTAACAAAATACGTGGAAATAGTAAATTGACAATAAATTTTTTTCTTGATACTATCATGTTTCCTTAGTACAAGTTATATTCAAAACCTCGTTGGTAATCAATAAAACCCAATATTTTGGTTTTATCAGATGCCGGTACCAGTAAGTCAATAATACGTGATTCATTTGTAGATATTCAGTGTTACATAATATTTAACATGATTTTACATATGAACGTAAAACCTGTTTACGAAAGGACAATCAGGTGAACACTAAGGAGGTAGTCCATACATTTATTGTTTATTGAATAATGAAGAAATTCTATGGAATTGAAAATAGCGATATCTTAGTAGTATCATTATAGTCTTAGAGGATGGATTCTCTGATTCTTTTCACAATGTTGCACTTCAAAAAATTTCTCATTTCGCCATGCTTTACTGTGCAAACTGAAACAGTGACAAGTTAGTGCCCTTAACTATAATGGTTGTGCTTCAACTTGTGTCGAATTTTGAATTGATCAAGGTTATGTATATTACTATGGGGTTTTAAATTTTGGTTAGGTTATTTCATTGTTTATTGTGATAGTTTTCCAGTTTTCCTTGTTTAATGTCAAAATTTACAAAAATAAGTGACGACGTCCTAAATGATTATCTTTAAAAAAAAACAGATACTGGAGGAGGTAAGTCATATCCCATGTATTTTATTTCTAAACAGTCCGCCTGAATGCTATCGACCTTATCTGTTTTGTTGACATTAAGACACTTTAATTATAGTCGGTAAATTAAATGTAATGGAAATAACCAGTTTTGACCTTAAACAGGCTAATGAATAAATAAGCCTATATAGCTAAGCGTTTATGAATACTGAATTATCTGTTAGTTCTGAAAAATATGTTTCTGAATACATTTATATTTATTTGTTTGAGTCTAGTTAAAAATTGAATCACATGTATTACATCCTTATTATGGTGTACATAATTTGACCCATCACGTTCAACACCTTACTTTTGGTTTATTGACAAGTGAACAGTATTAGCTAAATTGAAACGACAAACGCTTAGCAGAATCATTACAGTTTAATAAGGCTTATTGGTGAGACCATAATTTATGGACGACCTTTGAGCGACGCTAGATTAACCATGTGATTGTCCACTTAAGAACCAGGACCAAATAGGTGTTAAAAACCTATATGAGGAATTAAAATTCTGATTTACAGTTGAAGGTTAGGATTAGAAATTGGATTTATGGTTTTCATCAAGAATTGACATCAGCAATAAAGCCGAGACTCCATTTATCCAAATGGGTAAGTGAATTTTGCGCCAAAATCCGAGACCTGTTATACGCGATTGGTTCGTAAATAAATTATAGTCTCGCCGGACAGTAACAAGATTGTACCACTGATTCAAACTGAAGCCCTTCAATTTCTTTTGAATGATTTAAAAACAACTAATAAGGTTTTCCAGTTTATGGTAAATAATAGTTCTTTTCTATATAATGTTGTTGTTCATTCATGCCAAATGTCGAAATACACTAAACGTTTTTGTCAACGAACATACCAAACAATTTCTATGTTGATAGGTCAAAAAACTAGTAAGTTATTTATTGGGTTTTAATTTAGAACATTTATCACTATAATAAATTGAGATTGTTCAGTTATTTTAATCTTAAGATTTCCTAAGGATAGTGAACAGATATGTTATATTGATTGTGCAATATTTGATAAACCAACGGTTAGTTGTAAAATCTCCATACGTGATTGAATAGATTTATGTATCATAAACGAACTATTTTGTTCCTTCGAATATATTATTTAGTTCAAATCTGAACCATTAATTATTAGCATTGGTATATTAAGTGAATAACAAGGAATAAATATCCAGTTCAATTTGTATATACATTTCACAACGTCCAACATCCATCTGTTGTTCACCGGATACGGAACACAATTTGGATGAGTCGGAAATGGAAATTCCTAGCCGTATAATTGTAGTTTAAGAAGGTGGATTCTTGACTTTTTCACATTATTGCACATTGTAAACCACTGAATAATTCAGCTTGTTTCATGGTAAAAATGGGATGAGTGACTGATTTGTACCGGTCATTATATAACGAAATTAAACTAAATACATTCCCTTTATTCAGGATTACCAAAGAGTAAGTTATTCATCATATGAAATTTGTTTAAAGGCATCTGAAAAGACTAAACTATGAGTTGCAGAAAATCACTTGAATTCATGAAGGGTGGATATAATTTGAGCAAATAAACACTTATAATAACCTATCTGTGACAGCTAGTAACATTTACAAGTATGCAGATTCATTTCTCTTCATAGAACAGACTTTGTTTTGTTGTGTTGAAATGGTAACTCATTGAGTTTTATCCACGATTTGAACACACAGATTATTTATCCAGTACATTGCATCAGTTTGTTGCTCACCGAATAAGGAACAGTATGTGGATGAATTAAGAATGGAGAGTATTTAACAGAATCATTGATATATTCAACAGTGGAAGATTCATTTCAATCATGCTGTTATACATGGTGAACATTTGCATGATTCAGCTTGTAGCATGATGAGAATCAGAGTAACATTCATTTCTTACCACTAATTTAAATCGAAACGCTATAATTTGTGTCGATTAAATTAGAAGCGAATCGAGAAATCTATTCAGTATGTGTTGAATAACTAAATGATTTTATGATTTATCACCATTTCATTGTTTACGTTTCACTAATATCAGTAAAATTTTGTGGTGGGGCATAAAATATCTTTAGCTAAATTTTTTTCATTAACCAGATTATCCATGGGGTAAGCTAACTATTTTCTGTTTTTGTAGCTACTTCGATTTAATTATCTTAATTCAGTTACATTTGGACATAAGTCAATCGAAAATACATTTAACGATCAACTACTTTTTTATCAGAAAGGCTTTTTTGGACATTTTAGTAATTTTAATAATTGACATCATGAGTCAATTGAATCTAGACCACCATGGAAAACCTGGAAGCACTGGACAGCCGTTTCGTCATATTGTGGGACTCTTCGGCAGTGCTCATGAACGATTCCGCTTCGCAACATTTGAACCCAGGACTTTTTTTATGACCAAAATCAAATATATTCTTTTTGTAACAAAAATTTCATGCAAATGAATTAACGTTTGGTAAAGTATATTTCTATCTTACTAAATAATGTAATAGTGTAATACTTATCAAAATATCACTGCTTATAATTATTCGATAAATGAATCGGAAAGATTGTTTCCTAAATTGTGTGGGTAAAAATTTACCATGATCAAAATAAAATAATGTACGACATTTAGCTAAACTGAAATAAATGAATTTTAACGTAACCAATGGATATTGTAAAACTTGCTTTTTTACTCGGGCTCGTTGTGCAAATCAGAAAGTTGACTAGTTAATACTGTTGACGTAGTTATAAACGCTTCGATTAATGTTTAACAAATCATAAACGGATCCTGAATCCATTCAAGTAATTAATGTGTTTTTTCGAACCAAACCGTTTGACAGTACACATAATTTGAAATTATTTATCTGAGGATGCAAGATGACGAGGGTTAACGAGATGTTTAAATACTGAAGTATGTGTGAGTAATGTAATCTATTAGACAAGAGCAATAAAACATGTAAAGGCACGTTGATTTTGTCTAATACAGATGTTCATCTTTAGTGCGTCGAAGAGCGCTAGGATGACTGAAAATGGGATGAAAAGCTTAGAGCTATGAAAAACTTTCTCAAAGATGCCATCTGTCTATTTTATTCAAAATTTCTGAAGTATTATCTACACTAAATTCAATGTTCATAAAGAATTTTTTCTGAGGACTTCATGAGATTTTAAAGATTGTAGAGAAGGTCTCATGTATTCCCTAATAAACGTAGATGAGGAAACATTTTGGTGAGTACCAAATGAAGTTGGAGTTTATGCTAGACTAACTGCGCCTGTAGCTCTTATAGGGTTGCTGCCGGTCCCAAGCCCGGGTAAAGGAGGAGGGTTGGGCATGGGGTTAGCGTCCCCATCCCGTAGAAAACTAACTCGCTAAAAAAACGCTTACCAGAAAAAATAATCCAAACCATTTTAACTCTGCCCTGAGAGTTAGAAGGTCTTCATTTAGAAGAATTATGACGCTTCATGGTGAAAGCCGAGTTCCTTCGGAAGCCACGAGGCCGATGCCCCTTCTAACAACCAGAGCAAAAATTTTTATAGGTACATGGAACGTTCGAACAATGTGGGAAACCGGGAAGACCAGTCAAATATCAATGGAAATGAGGAGATACAACTTAACAGTACTGGGAATCAGCGAAACCCACTGGACCCAAGCTGGACAGAAAAGGCTAGCTACGGGAGAGATGCTGCTTTACTCCGGTCACGAAGAGGACAATGCTCCGCACACTCAGGGAGTTGCTCTAATGCTGTCCAGAGTAGCACGAAATGCACTAGTAGGATGGGAATCTCACGGATCCCGAATCATCAAAGCATCATTCAAAACAAAGAAGGAGGGGATCTTAATGAATATTATCCAATGTCATGCACCCACCAATGATAGCAACGACGAAATTAAAGATCAGTTCTACGAGCGGCTGCAGTCAATCATTGAGAAATGCCCAAGAAAGGACCTAACTATTCTGATGGGAGATCTAAATGCCAAAGTTGGAATAGACAACACTGGATATGAAGATATTATGGGACGACATGGACTGGGAGAAAGAAACGAAAATGGAGAAAGATTTGCAAATCTATGTGCAGGCGAGGATCGGCAAAGCAAGGGTCGCATTCCTACAATTGAAGAACATATGGAACTCAAAACAACTTTCAACCAATATGAAAGTGAGAAACTTCAATACGAACGTCAAGGCAGTTCTACTGTATGGAGCTGAAACTTGGAGAACTACAACAACCACAATCAAGAAAGTACAAATATTTATAAATAGCTGTCTTCGCAAGATACTCAACATCCATTGGCCGGATACCATCAGCAACAGCCTTCTGTGGGAGAGAACAAAGCAACTTCCAGCTGAAGAAGAAATTAGGAAAGACGATGGAAATGGATAGGACATACATTACGCAAATCGTCAAACTGCATCACGAGGCAAGCCCTAACTTGGAATCCTGAAGAGGAAGGCCAAAGAACACATTGCGTCGGATAATAGAAGCAGATATGAAAAGGATGAATTACAACTGGACGGAGCTAGAAAGGATTGCCCAGTACAGGGTTGGATGGCGAATGCTGGTGAGCGGCCTATGCTCCTTCACGAGGAGTAACAGGCGTAAGTAAAGTAAGTAAGTTTATGCTAGACTATCGTATCTTCGAAGACTATTTGCCTAGACCTACAAGGTAAGGAACTAGTTAATTTTTCCTGATTTTTGAAGGAATTTAGTTATTGTCAGCTTTTTTTATTAAAGATAGAACCTGATAAACATTCAAATGGATGAATTTTCCGAAACACTTTCTTAAATTAGACTTTAGTAATTGTAAGTTATAATTTCTGTTTTCTAATCGTATGCACCAATTGTCACAATGTAGCCAAATTAATCTTTTAAGTTAACTCAAGTGCATTTCCATAATACTTTTAAACAACAGTGGTATAACTAATCTCTAATTTTAAAAAAGAACGAATTTGTTAATCGATTACAAAAGAGATTATATAGCTTTACTTGTTTTACCCAGAATATTCGTGCGTAAACGACAATTACTTTAACCTTGACAATTCACTATTTTCATATATGGAAAAAAGATCTCAGCTGTAATGAAATAGAGAAACCCTAAGAGATTTATCCTATTCCTGGAAGACAGATACTTCATTAACTTTACACAGATGTAGGCTGCATACACTTAACATATTACACCATGAATCATGATGAAAATAAAACGGTTTTTACTACTAATCTAGACATAAAAGCTTCAATTTGCTTACAATAAATTAAAAACGATTTGAGAATCCTTCCAAGTACTTTTCTTGAATGATTATTCCATTTATTACAGCAGTACTTATTTCAGTTCTATGTATGTCAGTATTACTGTAGTGAACAGAACACGAGTGAGGCCAATCGAACGTGTTTATCACGAAAATTACAGACTATCTGAATAAATCTGAATACCATAAAGTTAATTGTCAATTTGCAAAATATCAATGCATCATATCAACCTGGACTGTTTCCGTTGCAAACATTAATCCATTGTCTCCCTTTCCATTGTACATGCGTTTTCTTACAAATTCCATTGTGCTCTCGCTCTTTATTTCTTGATCTTCACCTCATCTTCTGCTGCCAGATATTACGTTTTAACTCGCGACATATACTACTTATATCAATATAAGTAGCACACCACATTACCAAACATTCTATCGTTGTACCTAATTTAACTATACATATCTGTTTCATCTAACTCAGTGTTTTGTAAGTGATAGCTTGTGTTTCATTTGTAAATGTCTGTCATTATATTATTTTTCAAGCTGAGTAAACCAAATATCTGAGTTAATTTACCGATAGTCAAAGCAAAGAACAGAAACGTCGTTACTGTCACTTTTTCACAGACTAAGAAACATTCTTAATTTCTGCAACTGGGATTACAAAAGTTCGTTTTTATCGATTCAAACATTTAGTTCCTTATAAAATATAAAATAGTTCGAGTGTGAACCACTAATTATTAGCACTGGTTTACTAGGTATGCAACAAGGAATGAATATCCAGTTCAGTTCACCACGTCCAAAATCCATCTGTTGTTCACTGAATAAGGAACACGATTTGAGTGAGTTGAAAATGGAAATTTACAACGATATAACCGTAGTTTAGGAAGGAGGGTTCTTGATCTTTTCACATTACTGCACATTGTAATCCACTGAATAATTCAGCTTGTTTCGTGGTGAAATTGGGATAAGTGAATTAATTATACCACTTGTCTTCACAAGAACTCTTTAAATTGTTATTATGATAAACATTTCTAAATCTTCTTAGTTGATGTTGACTCATTCTGGCTTTCAGAACAGTGATATTGTGATATAATTGTTCATGGTGTGGTATATGCCACTTATATCGACGAATATGAGTAGTATGTAAAATCAACCAGAAAAGGAGTGGCTGGCGGTAGAAGGTTGGGAAGATCAACTTGAAAACACGGGAATGTAAACTGAGTGTAATCATACGGGTGATGAAGAAATAATGAAGTTTGAGACAATTTTAAGTGACTTATGTTTTTGTGAACACGTCAAACTTATGTTGTTTTTGTCAACGCTACACTTTCTTTCAACAGATCTCAGATGTAATGGTAAGTTGAAACACTGGTTTAGAGCAGATATTATCTATTTGAGATTGTATCTAATCAATTAATTATCTGATCACAACTAGAATTATATGTAATCTATCATTTGTCTTGATGTCTGGTTCAGTAATCTAATGAGATGAAGGATTGTATTTGCCTACACGTTCATGCACTGTGTCTATTAACATGGGTGTTTGATATCCGCAAATAAAGGAACTGCCTGTTCTACAAAGAACACGTGTAACAATGCGGAAAAACAATAACAGTGTAGCAAAAAATACATTTAATACGATAGAAAAGCTGATAGCATATGTAGCTCAGAATTCTTTTGTCACATTCAATTTGTGTTTTGTGCAATGATAATACCCTTATTTAACAAACCTCGATGAACGGCCTAATTTGAAATATTTCAGTTAGTGAAAGAAGTAAGTAATCATATGAAATCTCACTGTTGTCGTTAATCTCATTTTTGTTTGCACTTAACAAATAAATATATTTTAATTTTACTCGTAAAGTTTTGAATGAACTCATTCGTGATATTTTTATGTGCATCCAACGTAGGCTGCATCTATATACACGTTTATGTTAAATAGATGTCATGTGGAAAATTCTAGAATCAAGGACACGGGACACGTGCTATTTAGCGCTTATCTGATGGATATTTCTGCATCACATAATTGTTGTTGATAACGCGTTGTCGTTTGAAGCGATACGTGATGAATTCAAATCCAATAAAAACACCAAAAATGAGATGCATGAACACTGAGCTGACGAATCGTAAGTGTGAGAAAACGAGTATTTTGAACTCCACTGCTATCAAAATTCGATCTATTGTTAATAAGCTATATAAGTGTAATATTTTCCAATATAAATGTGAGCGTTTTAAATGACGATTAATCTTCACAATTCGTACTTCACAGAGTTCAGATGTTGCGGTATGTTTCTTTTTTATGTATGAAGTTTATAATTCTTAAGATAAAAAACAGTCTAGTCATATATCAAGGCACAAAGTTCAAAAAAGGGTTTTATCGTATTTTACAAGAACAATATGTAGTGACCTTCATGAAATAGGTTTTCTTAAGAATATATTTCATTAGTGTTAGCATCAGTGTAAATATTTCTTCCCTATCCGCTGTAACTTCATCCGTAGAAATAATCGACTGAAGGACAATATAAAATCGATAAATCTACAGAATACTCTCACGAAATTATGTCACACTCGTGTTCCTAAAACTGAATTACATGTTCTTGTGGTAGTTCTGCTCGTCGTTTCCAACAAACCGTCCCATGGTTTTCTTCCAAATAGCCATAGTGAAAATTTATCAATATTGGAAAGACAATGAACCGCTAAGTTAATATGATGAATTTACTCATGCTCTAATAGTGCACCACATTTTCGAAGCACAATTAAAGCTAAATTTTACAACAAGAGAACTACATTATTTAATCTTCTGGAGGTCTGTACAAAGCAGAACCAGTCAGAAGATAATCATTAGGAATTTCGTCAACCCAAACAATTAACTCAAATGTATCTGCTTCCTGTCCTTTACAAATATGATTCTAACTTGATATTCAATGTTTTATATTATATCCGGATTCTATGCATGTGCTACAGTCATTGTGACAATTTTCATTAACGTTTCCCCAATACCCGTGTTCTAATAATTATAAAATGAACAAGGACCTCTTCTTGTGTTTAATACACAAGATGTGCAAAACCACAAGAGGCTTGTCTGTGCACAATAACGGAGTTCAGCATAAGAACTTTAAGGAATTTCGACAGTTGAAATCAAGAGTCGATCTCCACAATCTTCATAAATCCTCATATTGATAAAATTCAGGAAAACCTTCTCGCATTAATCGAAGTACACTTATAGTCACATTAGAGAATCCTGTTTCAACAGCTCGTACTTACTTACTTACTTACGCCTGTTACTCCCAATGGAGCATAGGCTGCTGACCAGCATTCTCCAACCCACTCTGTCCTGTCCCTTCTTTCCTAGTTCCATCCAATTCTTGTTCATTTTTCTCATGTCTATCTCCATTTCCCGGCGTAATGTGTTCTTTGGTCTTCCTCTTTTCCTTTGACCTTCAGGATTCCATGTGAGGGCTTGTCTTGTGACGCAGTTCGGTGCTTTCCTCAATGTGTGTCCTATCCACTTCCAGCGCTTCTTCCTGATTTCTTCCTCCACTGGGATCTGGTTTGTTCTCTCCCACAGTAGGTTGTTGCTAATAGTGTCCGACCAACGGATCTGAAGTATTTTGCGCAGACAACTGTTAATAAACACCTGTATTTTCTGGATGATGGCTTTCGGAGTTCTCCAGGTTTCTGCCCCATACAGTAGAACTGTCTCGACATTTGTATTGAAAATCCTGACCTTGGTGTTGGTTGACAGTTGCTTTGAGTTCCAGATGTTCTTCAGTTGTAAATATGCTGCTCTTGCTTTGCCGATCCGCGCCTTCACATCTGCATCAGATCCACCCTGTTCGTCAATGATGCTGCCCAAATACGTAAAGGTTTTACATCTTCCAAATCTTCTCCGTCAATTGTGATTGGATTGGTGCATTCTGTGTTGTATTGGAGAATCCTGCTTTTCTCTTTGTGTATATTGAGACCTTCTGCTGCTGAGGCTGCTGCCACACTGTTCGTCTTCTCCTGCATTTGTTGTTGCGTTTGGGATAGAAGGGCCAGATCATCTGCGAAGTCTAGATCATCCAACTGCATCCTAGATGTCCAATGTATGCCGTGCTTTCCTTCAGATGTTGACGTCTCCATGATCCAGTCGATCACCAGGATAAAGAGAAAGGGTGCGAGTAAGCAACCTTGCCTAACACCGGTCTTCACTTCGAACGACTTTGTCAACTGTCCTCCATGCACAATTTTGCAGTGTAATCCATCATATGAGTTCTGTATGATATTGACTATCTTCTGAGGCACGCCGTAGTGTCGAAGAAGTTTCCATAGTGTTGTTCTGTCCACGCTATCGAATGCCTTTTCGTAGTCAATGAAGTTGATGTAGAGTGATGAGTTCCATTCAATTGATTGTTCCACAATGATCTGTAGAGTTGCGATTTGGTCTGTACACGATCTATCCTTACGGAATCCTGCCTGTTGGTCTCAAAGTTGGGCGTCTACGCAGTCCTTCATCCTGTTTAACAATACCCTGTTGAAGACTTTTCCCGGTATTTACAGTCAGTCAGTAACAACGTAGAACTTCGTACGTACGTACATCAGTTCGAGTGGCCACACCACATTAGCACAGAGATGCACTTGTCGATTCAAATCCCGTAGTGGTAGAGGTAATAATAGTATAAGCAGTAATCGGGAAGACCAGTGTTTGGAGATGTTACTTAAAGAGTATAATACAGTGAAATAAATTTGAGAGGAGAAAAAAAGAGACAAGAGGGAATAGGAAGATCAAAATTTGGGAGAACACAAAGAGTGGATGCACCTGCATCATTGCAAACGATTTTGAGCCATGTCATTCAGGGTCTCTAGCCATCGGTTGCTATCATCTCGCGGTCCCCAACCAGGTAGTCTACACCTACCAAAATGACTCAGACCACTTGTCAGTGACTTCATGGACTTGTACCATGTTTTGGTCTGGCCGCCCCTAGCTTTCTTCCAACCTACTCCTATACCACTGAACATAGCACGTCGAGGCAGTCGGTAGTTGGGCATACGTAACACGTGTCCCAGCCATCTCAACTGATGAAGTTTCACTACGTCATCAATTGATTTGTCATCCTTACCTAATACCCGTTTCCTAACAACTGCATTACTTACTCGATGGTCCCAGGATATACGAGCAATGTTTCGAAGACACCTATGATCAAATACTAGTAACCTACGGATATCCTCTACTCTTACGGGCCATATTTCACTGCTATAAAGTAGGACGGAACGAACTACTGAGCAGTAAACACTTCCTTTGGTTGATAGACGGATATCTCGCCTACGCTAGAAATGGCGCAAGTTGGTAAAAGCTAGTCGAGCCTTCTGTATCCGTGCTGAGATTTCGTCGCACACCAGACCACAAGGGCTGATGAGACTTCCAAGATAAGTGAAGCGATCGACACGCTCAATTACTTCACTCCCTATCATTAGTTCGGGTGTTAATGCAACCCAATCCTGAAGCAACATTTTGCATTTCGAGGGGGAGAATCGCATCCCGAACATGCTTGCATTGTTGCCTAGAGTGGTCAGAGGACTCTGCATTTCCCGGTATTGAGTGAAGAGTGATGCCCCTGTAGTTATCACATTTGCTGAGATCGCCTTTCTTCGGTATTTCGATCAGAAGTCCTTCTTTCCAGTCTGTTGGTACTTGTTCCTCGTCCCAAATCTTACTGAAGAGAATGTGGAGTATCCTTGCAGTTGCCACTATGTCTGCCTTTAGTGCCTCTGCTGGGATGTTGTCCGGTCCTGCTGCTTTGCCACTCTTGATTTGTCTGATGGCCATCCTGATTTCTTCAATTGTTGGTGGGCCAACATTGATTGAGAGGTCCCTGGGTGCTGCTTCGATGTTGGGTGGGTTCAGTGGAGCTGGTCGATTCAAGAGTTCATTGAAGTGTCCTACCTACCTGTTTCGTTGTTGTTCAATGTTGGTGATTACTTTGCCTTCCTTGCTTTTCACTGGTCGTTCTGGTTTGCGGCGATTTCCAGAGAGTTTCTTTGTCGTGTCATACAATTGTCTCATGTTTCCTTCTCTTGCAGCCTTTTCCGCCGTCGTTGCTAAATCTTCCACATATTTATGTTTGTCGGTTCTGATGCTCCTATTCACTTGTTTGTTTACTTCTGTGTATTCAGCTTGTGCATTGGCTTTTTCTGCTCTTGTTCGGCTGGTATTGATTGCTGCCTTCTTGTTCCTTATTTCTAGAATCTTACCAAGTGTATCAACAGTGATCCATTCCTTGTGATGGTGCTTCTTGTGACCCAGGACCTCATGACATGTTGAAGTGATTGCCTCTTTGATCCCCTTCCAGTTGCTCTCCACAGTAGTTTCTTCTCCATTGATTAGATCATGAAAGGCCTGGAACTTATTGCTGAGGTCTATCTTGAATTTGTTGAGTTTGTTAGTATCCTGAAGAAAGGCCGTATTGAACTTTTGTGATGTTGTCTGCCCCATTGTCCAGTGCTTCTTGAGTTTCAATTTCATCTTGGCGACCAACAAGTGATGATCTGATGCTATATCAGCTCCTCTCTTGGTTCTCACGTCCTCTATAGTCCTCCTAAACGTTTTGTTGATGCAAATATGGTCGATTTGGTTTTGCGTGGTGTGATCCGGTGAAGTCCATGTGGTTTTGTGTATGCGTTTATGTGGGAATATGGTGCCGCCTATGACCAGCTTATTGAAAGCATATAGATTTGCAAATCTCTCACCATTTTCGTTTCTTTCTCCCAGTCCGTGTCGTCCCATGATGTCTTCATATCCAGTGTTGTCCGTTCCAACCTTGGCGTTGAAATCTCCCATCAGAATGGTCAGGTTCTTTGTTGGGCACTTCTCGATGATTGACTGCAGCCTATTGTAGAATTGATCTTTAGCGTCTTCATTGTAATCGTTGGTAGGCGCATAGCATTGGATGATGTTCATTGAAATGCCCTCTTTTTTTGTTTTGAACGAGGCTTTGATGATCCTTGGTCCATGAGATTCACATCCTATATGCGCATTTTGCGCTTGTTTGGACAACATCAATGCAACTCCTTGTGTATGTGGAGCATTTTCTTCTTCATGTCCGGAGTATAACAGGAGCTCTCCTGTAGTTAGTCGTTGTTTTCCAACTTGTGTCCAATGTGTTTCACTGATCCCAAGTACCTCTAGGTTGTATCTTCTAATTTCTGCAGCGCTTTGGAAGGCTCTCCTGGTGTCACACATTGTACGAACATTCCATGTATCTAAATAAATGGTCGGTCTGGTTGTCAGAAGGGGCATCGGCCTCGTAACTTCCGAAGGAATTCGGCTTTCATCATGAGGCATCATAGTTCTTCTGAATGAAGACCTTCTGACTCCCAGGGTAGAGTTTAAAAGGTTCGAATAATTTTTCCGGTTAGCGTTTTTTAACGAGTTAGTTTTCTACGGGATGAGGACGCTAACCAGATGCCAACCCTCCACATTTATCCGGGCTTGGGACTGGCAGTAGCCCCCGGAGGGACTCCAGGCGGAGTTACCAGCTTGTACTGTTAATGAAATATCTTGACCGTACATTTACTTCATAGGACCACTCTGCCCAGGTTATCAAGGTTTTATACAGTAATATAGTGAACTTCAAAATCAGTATTTTAAATAATCTTTGGTTACTTCTATCAAACAATGTTCAGTAAAAATTATTTTACTTTTTTGATATCAGATGACGGTGGTAAGTAATTATTACTGGTCTGACATGTTTTACTTGTTTATTCATAATGATTTAACTGAATGTAAATTAATAAACTGTATAAGAATGAACTTCAATGGTAGTTACGTTTAATTTCTAATAGCTAATCTTTGTTTTGGTGAGTTCATTTGAGTGTCGTATGGGATACTCTTTTATTTATTGACAGTTACTTATCAATATGAAATAACAGTATTAAAAGTAGTTTAAATACATAAAGCATCATCCTCTGTAAACAGTTTTCCAGTCAGTTTATTAAATAAAATAAAAATTTCAATCTCACCTTTACGCTGAAAATACATTGAATGAACTAGAAAATCTGCATCGTTTGATGAACAGTGTACTTTATTTATTCAATATAGTAATTAGGACGAATCGACCAGTAAAATCAATTGGATGTACAGATTTCAGTAATTTGAAGAAGTTAAACAAAATTACATATATTTAGTAAGAAGAACGAACAGAGAGAAGAGATTTCTTTTCAGTTTTTCATCATGACACTACATGATTTATAACTATGAAATGATATATTTCGTGTAGTTGCGTAGCGTAATAATTACGTCACGCCACAGTGACAATGAAATAATATTCAGTCATCAGATGTAAGACTCACTCCTATACCGATAGCTCAGGTAGGGAGAGTTATTTACTTACTTACGACTGTTACTTAGGTAGAGAGTGATTGTACAATTTTTATACTAATGGAAAGGTAGGTCAATCAATAACGATTTGCATAGCTTCAGCAATTTTAAAAGATGAAATCGTACACCACGAGGTGAATTTGATAGAATATAGCGGGCGTACTTTAAAAAGTCATTAAAGTCAACTTGATATTCTATGCACACTAAATGGCTGAGAATGGAACTCCTAATCACTCTCACCTCTTTTCTCTGGACAACCGTGAATGGTGCTTCACAATACAATGAGGGACTTGCGAATATATACGCTTTATACTACTGCCACTTTGACGAATATGAATGAATGAAGCAGATTCAACCAGTCCGTTTATACTGGTGATTCTCATTACAGAGAGATTGCAGAAGACACCATTTCGTTTGATTACAGTAAGCATTTTCCGCATCCCATTTCTTATCCTTCGAGTTTTCGTTTTCTTGGTAGTGTCATTTGACAATTCTAAATTTAAGGACGGTACCTTCTTTGGAATGGTAAATATATTCGGTATTCTTTTCATTTCACTTGTATGGTTGACGACAAAATTCGTTCGATATTCATTATATCTTAGCTGGCTCCAATTAATCTAAAATGATGTTATCACAGAGAATGTGAAAATGAGAATTTTCATCACATTTACTTAATGTTTATTCGTTTTTCTTTTCAAATTATTAGGTTACAATGGTGCGTTTATAAAGTTCATTGAGTGTCATTTACCGTACTTCAATTGAATGAAGTATGCTCATAACTATTTTTACAGTTAGATATGAAATATCTTGGCTAATTTCATTATATATTTTTTTCTACTTTCAGGGAAATCTTTCATAAGTATGTTTGAGAAAAGGTTTTCGAAACTCTGATGTACCGACTTTATAATCGATGTCGACAGTTTTATGTTTGTCAGTGAGATGTTTCCAGCACTCGATTTTTATGGTTTTAGGCAACGTGATTTTCATCAATAACTTGTGATATAGTAATATTTATTAGTCAATCTAGTCTGAAAATTCAACGTGGTTGTGGCCTGTCTGGCAACATTTTACTAAAAGTTTACTTATATGTTATATTAGTCATAAAATTACCAACGGAGTCTATTATTGTATGGTGATCATATCCATTTATTTGTTCAGCGTAATAAATAACTTTTGAGCGGCTGGATAGATTATACCCATCCTTGATGTATTTTGTGCAGAACTGCTTGTTCCAGGAAATTTTGTCAACCACCAAAATGTTTCCAAATTTCTAACTTTTCTATAGAAAGTACGCGAGAAAATCAGTCTTGGCCAAAACTGCTTTTGTCGTTTGAAATGACAGCATATAATTTTTTCTAGTGAACAGTGGATTAGATCATTTTTACCAAGTTAAGTTTCGTATTACAAGAAAACTATTAATAACTCAAATAAAAAGTCTCTTTGTTATAATCCCCGATCAGGAGATTTTTCATTCAGCATATCACTGAGACATTAGATTCCAAGTCCATTACTTGACACTCATTTTGATTTTAAGGCTTGAAATGATTTTGTTAGTAATAAGAGTTTCTGAAAGGCTTACAGATATCCATTCCTTAGCGTATGATTTCACACACATCTGTCTAAAAATCGATATATAATTTTACCATTTGTTTATTCCCCAAGGGTAATGTGATTCTACAAAAAAGCACAACCTACAAGATTGTACAATCTAACAACATAATTCCGTTTCACCGATCTCAATGTAACAGACTATATTATTGAATGTTATCATTGTGTACTACATATATTGTCCTAGAGTAAGAAAAGACATCCTTTAAGCAACAACCGTTTAAATAAGTAATCGTTATAGCCATAGTTCTTCGGATTGATAAATTCAGGATGAACTGTTGCGTCTATAGAAGAGAACAGATTGGAAATACCGGATGAAAAACCGTATCGGACATTGGTATCTGGGAGAGTATTTCGATTATAATTAGTAATAGTATTTATTTGTCCATTTATCGACTGATTGGTTTATATTAATACACAGTAGAGCAGCATAGACTATTTATGAGTAATGTCTCACAGAAAAATAATTTAAAACAAATATAAAACGACAAATTGTTGTTACCCTATATACGATACGCTTAAAATCAATGGTTTCATAAAAATATATTACGACAGTAAGGAGAAACATTAGCTGAGTAGAGTAATATATACTGAAAGTGTCAGAACAATGAAGATATAACATTTGCTTTACTCATGTTTCTCTTTTATTTGCACAAATATACTTTACTCATGTCATCAATACTTATTATTTTCATTAATTTTTAATTATTGGTTTTATTTAGGCTCATTCTATACAGGAAGTAAGCTGATTTTACATAGATGTAATATCTTTAGTTGAGTCATCACAAAATTAAATTCTTCCTACTTTATATTTCATAAAACTCTTCGTTTCCATGGTTAATACCCTGTCATATCATAGATTCTCTCGTAACATCATGAAAAAGAGTAATCACTTAATGAGTCTAACTAAAATGTTATGAAGCAGACTTCTTTCAAATCTACGATGATTAAATGAACATAAACACATAAATTTGAACGCTAATCCAAATTGCTTTTGTATGAGGAGTGCTGAATTATTATTATTATTTATTTATTTGAACACATAAATATTGGTACAAGAATGAGCCAAATATGTATGCGCCACACAAAACAATGAGAATTTAAGGAGAATAATAACGAAGAGGTTAATGTAAGGTGGTGTAATAATAATAATCGTAAAAATGGGGGAACGGAAAGGTACGATCAGAAGAAATCTTTCAGTTACTGCAGACACAACCACTTTTTTATGAAGAAAGTAAAAGAAGGTTACAGCAGGATCGCCACTGGCTTCTATTCTGAGCCATATCTGATAACGTGTCTAGCTACTGTGTCGCACCATCTCTCAGATCCCAGCCAGGGAGTCGTGAAGGACCGACAGAATCCAGTCCTTTGCAACTTTCTTTCATCCCACGACACCATGTCATACACTGACCACCTCTCCACTTTTTCTAACCAGAGTACTGAATAACTGTACATGCAGTGTTTACTAAAAATACGCATCTGAGATTGAGATGGTTTAATCCTAATATGAATTTTATTATATTTTCATAAAATAGTATAAAAACAAAAAGACTGTTGGATTTACAAGATTTAAGCTGTTTGTGGTATCACTTAATCAAAGTTAAATTTACCTTCGAGATTGTCGTTTTGAATGTATCTATGTGATTTAGGGCTTTTGGTTACCAAGCCTAAATTTATTCTTAAAAGATCTGTTTCATTTATATATACAGTGTAACTGTTATACGCATATTAGTTCAATTATTCTGATGTAGTTGGAAAGCTCATTTGGTGTTAATTTATTTTCTAATAAATAGATGAAGGAACCTATTACAGTAAGTATTCTTTGTCGTTTATCAATGTATTTAATCACAAGTAATATCCTCAGTCGAAACTGGTTGGTTTTAGAAGTAATTTAATTTGTGTATTAGTGTTTTCATGTTTTGGGTTTCTTTATACGACTCCTATTTTGAGAACAACCCATTACGTTGAAGGCGCTCAATTCAAAAGCATTATCGTTCGAATGACACTGTCTGTTAATTAAATTAATTGAGGGAATTTACAAAATTAAACATACACATACTCAACTGTGAACATAGTGCTTTACGTTCACGAAGATGAAAACTGCTGTTTAAATTCTAAATAGCCGCATCGAATCAGGTCACTATCCAAATTATACTGTATATCGTTACGAAAGAAAATGGTATTCCCAAATAGAAAGACAGTAAAACCCTGTGTTTTCAACGAAATCGACGCTTAGCATTACCATATAAAATAGATAATGATGAATGATCTTCAGAGAAATATACTGAAAAAGACCAGGTGAGTGATCCAAGAACCCCATTTATGAAACATGTTATGAAATTAACAGAACAGATAGGAAGGAAACAATTCACTTGGTAACTTAAAGGGATGGACAATCAACAGTTTAAAATCAAATATTCTGCAAATAGGAAAATGTGTGTCAATAATCCATCAAGCAAAAATTAGATATTTTATCCCTATAAGTGAAATTCTTTGTTTACGTATATATTGTCTGACACAAGATCTAGGTGCACATTCTGATCAAAAACCAGAACACAGAAAATCAAATCTTCTAGACTCTTGTTACCAGTTCACGAACAATAAATGTAACTACAGCAGCGTTCCTACAAAGAAGCACAGCGAAACTATTAAAATGTATTTTTCACGTTTATACGAAATGATTGAGTCAGCATGAACTCATCTGCCAAAATTGTATGGAATAACGAGGGCACACATACTGGGTATTCTATTAAGGTTAAATTTAGATACGAATTACTCAACATATCATACTAAAGCAAAGTGATCGGTACCTATATTGAGATCGCTCCACAAACAACTTGTAATGCGTAGCGTTTGGGATTCCTTCTTATTTGTTTACGAGATCAAAATTGCAATTACTAAGGAATGAACAAAGTATCATCGATACTCACAACTGTTCCACTCTTAGAGACTGTAGAATATGTGTTTGACTCACTTAGAAAAACGAAATACACACTAGAAATAATAAAAGGATATGACAGATTATTAAGTAGGAAATTAAACAAATAAAGTACTTGGACAAGACAGTACATCACTTTGCTTAGATTTTACACCTACAGAACTAAAAAACTTGATAAGAACTCTCAGTAATTGAATACGTTATATATGTTCTATTGATATGGTTGGAAAAAAGCTAATAACCCTGAGAAAAGCACTTGAGAAAAACGGGTCAAGTTTTATGGAGAATGTCTCGCGTCGGGCTGTTTCCCACGTCAGTTTGTAAAATCCTTACGTTCATGTAAGTTTCCACTATCGCTTTAAAACCTAAGACTCATTACCAAATCTCATACTGAATGGACAAAATTACTCATTACACGACTAAGGACTGAAGCCGGTGCTTTTATTAAAGCCGTTAATGATCTAAACATCGTATGTCGAATAAAACCCATGAACTTTATTCGTGATCTTCAAATCAAGGTTTGCAAGGATTTCCATAAATCTCTATCGGAAACTCTGGTAAGAGAACAACTATGTTTAAGCGTTCCCGGAAAACCCTTCGAAGTTTATCTATAACTTATCAAATAGGAAACTTAATAGTATAGAAACAGAAGCCTTATCACTGGGACTCAAATATCATATACCAAAACCAAATACTGACAGGATTGATACAGAAGGTCAATTCGAAAATCTGTTTGACCAATTAAAAGATTTGCAGCCAATGAATGAGGAAAATAAAGGATGGTTCAAATCAAAGTTAGTTGATATTGCCAACGAATACTTCGTGTCATCGACACCAAAGTCGAATATTCTATCCAAAGGACATCTAATAGCCCTAAGAAACATCAAGCAAAAGAATGAGGTGATGATTTTGCAACCGGATAAGGGTTCAGGTGTCGTCCTAATGAATACAGCTGATTATGTCACTAAGATGAAGTCAATCCTAGACGATCACCTGAGGTTCACGGTAGATAAATCCAAAAAAAGATTTGACTGATTCAACAGATTAACGAATCACAGGTATGCTTAAAGAACTCCTAAAAAAGAAAATGCTTGATAATTCCACTTACAACGATCTAAGACCACGCGGTTCACGTCTACCTCATATGTTTGGTTTTTCAAAAGTTCACAAACATAACGTTCCCCTTAGACCTATCCTATCAATGATCAACTCACAGTACCATAAAGTTGCACGCTGGTTAGCAGTAAAACTAGAACCGATTCGTCGGAGATTAGAAACATATACATTAAAAGATTCATTCCAGTTTGCTGATATACTAAATCGTACGAATGTTGCTGATAGGTTCATGGTTTCTTTTGATGCCACATCCTTATTCACCAATATACCACTTCTTGAACTTCAAATTCTGCACAAAACAACATGTTCAATAACTCAATCAAAGGTTGATAAGCATCCTTTTCATGTTACCGCCAATTGTATTTAAAAATTTACATATACCTGCCAAAGCAGCTACATTGGCCGAACAGAAAGGAGGGCATATCTCAAATTTTTTGAACATGTTCCAAAAAGCCTCAGAACAAGAGAATGAAAGACTCCAAATAGTGCAATCACGAAACATCTCCTTTACATAGGACATCAGGTTGATACCCTACAATCATTCAAGGTGATTAGTACGCAGCCAAACTCCAGTCTTCTGAAGTTTGCTGAAGCAGTTGCTATCAGGCGCCCAAAACCTGATTTATGTGTTCAAAAGGAGATGGTTGTTAATCTTTCCCTGTCTTGGTGACAAATATTCTTTCGTTGCACCTTAAAATTTTTAATTTATTTATTACATCATTGATTTTATTTTTCAACTATCTTTTAACTGAACTCTACTCACTATATTCCTATCAATGTTTATTCATTATGTAATCAATTGTTTCTAACCCACTTTTGAACTGTTGTCACAATTAATGTTGTAGAATATTCTTTCACATTAGGTATATTTTTACAATATTCAGCCTATTAATTTCATTTACATCCATGACATACTTTACGAATAATTCTTCAATATAAACCGTCTCATGTAAGTAATTTAAACCCATTATGTAATTAATATCTTTTTAAATACCACAGGTTGTAAGCAGCTGACGAGAACCTACGAATTAAAATGAATTCATGTTATTCTGCTAGAATCTTTGTTCTTGCTCTTTTCAAAATGATGAAGGGAACTATGTGTATGAAAAAACGGATACCGCGAAACTTAGTAAACAAATTTGATAGTAATATTTGAATAGGAAAATATAGGAGGATATCACAATTAATGTATAACACATATCATTTAGCATGTGTTTATTTGTTCGTTGTTGTTTAATATGAACAAGTATATAAGCTTCACATTTTACGCTTATATATTTTCTACACAGGTCCCAAGATTAGAATGATGGGTATGATGATATTTAAATATATTTGTAAATCTATCCAATACAGATCGTTGAGAAAGAAGTTTGGTGATTAAGCCAATTCACTAACAAATTTAAATTGACTGTCGTTCCTGTCACGTAATGTACAAACACACATTTAAGAACATTTGAAGAAGTAAATGATAATTAGTATCAGCGTACATTCAACACACCACATCTACCTAGAAAAGAACTAAATGAAACAGTTTGACTCTCAAAAACACTATCTGTTTAAGAACAAAGTCGATAAAAAATGGTTTGGAAACTCAAATATATTTTTAATTCCATTTTTATCAGGCATTTTATGAGTAATTTAATTCAGAAGTCCTTTGCATATGATAAGTATTACTCATTTAAACCATGATATTGTTAGCTCATGAGTTAGCTTTTACTGTCTGTGATAGATCTTCAATTTACTGACTCACTAATTTGTGACTAGAATAGAGTCAATGAGATGGTTTAAGTATTCATATGGTTGGAAAGCGTGTATATGTTTACGTTTATGTGTCTTGTGTAAGTTAGTAATACTATGTTCTATAATTCTTAAGATTCTTTTAGTCGTGTTTATTCATCATTAAGAATGAGTTCTACTTATCTATATTAGCCTTTTTCCCTTGACTTTTCCTATTATAGTTGGCCTAATCAATTCGACCTGTAAGATTATTCTGACTATTCTTATTCTAATAAAACTCATCACATTCTGATGTATTATTAAGAACTACGTATATATTTATATCGTTATTGTAGGTTGTAGTTTAGATGATTGTGTCGACTGCATGGACATCATTCATTTCGTTCACCATTAGGAATATTGATGGAAAAATATCTTAATATTAGTACTCCGAAAATATTGCACATTTATATACTTACATACATTCTCCTGTTACCTTTCGTATAGCAACACAGACCCAATACCAGAATTCTCCGTCTAGCTCTGTCCTGGGCTATCGTTTCCAGTTCTTCACATCCGTTATTCATTCATTTGATCCCGAAGCTTTCAGTTTACTGAATCTTTCATTCGATTCAGTAAATCTCCGTTAAAAAATCTTCATGGTACTTATATCAGTGGGATGGCTCTGTAGCTCTCACACTTGTTGAAATCCTTCCTATGTATTTTGATGAAGTATCCTTTTTCCAGTGTATCAGCACTTGTCCTTCCTCTCACATTATCCTAAGTAGAATGTGTAGTATGTTTTCTGATGGCCGTGCTGATTTCTTCGTTCGCCGAATAGGTGACATCTATAGAAATGTCTGTAGGTGCTGCTTCGACGTTTGATGACCTTAAAAAAGCTGGTCTATCCAATAATTGTTCAAAGGGCTCTTCCCATCTATTTCGCTGATCTTCAATCTCAGTGATCAACTTGGCTTATTTTTCTCTTACCGTTTGCTCTTATTCACAATATTTCACTACTAGCATTTTTTTTCCTCCGCAGCTCTTCTAGGGTTACTGTCAGTCTCAAGTCCATATAAAAGAGGAACGTTTGACATAGAGTCAGTACCACTAACCCGTAGAAAACAACTTTGTTAAACAATGTCAATCAGAAAAAAAAACAATTTAAACCATAAAGTACATAATAACTAGGTGTTTTTATTAAGATGAAAAATAAAACGAAATTTTCACCATTTATTACATATTTTCTTCGCAAAATACAGATGATTATCTGTCTTTAGTAAAATTAAACCATTTTGCTGAGGTATACTTCATATTGACCATTCATAATTCATTAAAATCTTACCAAGGTATCAAATTTAAAAGTAAGTTCTCTTCACTCGATTTAAACTTTTTGAAATGATACATCGGAAGTTAATTTAATCATGTATCTCAACAAACAACTGGAATACGGGAAAAGTCTCAAATCAACAGTTAATACATATAATTATTGAGAAACCTCCTGTAATCTGTAAATATGTAAATGACCATTTTTACTAACTGGTTTTACATTCTGTTACAATGAGTGTAATTCACTCGTAACAAAAATCCAGTAATTAATAGTACTGTGTAAATTAAAAGGTCATTTTTCATCTTAATCTTTTTAGAATATGGAACTACTAGTAAGCTTTACCTAAATCTTCAAAATAATATTTGTGGAGCATACATACATAAAGTGAACCCATATCTCCATTGACATATTGATATCAGGTTTACAGAATTATTCGATCATTCGACAAATAATTTTCAAATTGTCAATCAATGAAATGACTTTAGAGGAAAACTCATCAGCAAGCCTATGTATATGGTCATACTAACATAATCATTGGTGCTTTTAAATAGATCATCACCCATGGGTTTCACAGACTAAAGTATGTGCATGACTGAATCTCTGAGATTATGTAGAAGTCGTTCATATCGTTAAAGAACACCTTTACATTCCAGTTCGTAGATTCTAGTGTGAATTCAGGTGATAGATATTTCTTTAATATAATTCATTTGAATTTTTCGAATGCTGAATCATGACAGATTATCATTTACCATGTCATACATGCAAGATCTCGTGATAAATACAAGTTAAATTGTTGTTATTCATCTTATACATTTCTGAAACAGCCAATTAAACAAATCATTTTCTCCCATTCACTAGCATCTTCTGGAAAAAAGTCATAGTGAAGCAAAAAATTTGCATGATGATTTTAAATGAAACATTTATTATTTATCACATTATGCAAAGTTCACAAAAGCTTATCATCGTAACAGTTGACTGAGATATGTTCAAATGGATATTTTTCTATTGACCGAGTAACTGCTGAAATATAACTCATTGAAATTCATGAGAACTTTTGTTCTGTTTTGGAACAAACGTTTTCGTTCAGCAAGCTGTTTTTTAACTTCAATGGTAGTAACAGTAATAGTTCCACTTGCAGTTTAGTCAGATCACAAAGCTATAAGCATATCGAGCGTATTTGAGACGGAGAGGCGAATAAGTATATGGGAGCAATTACATGGGCGAATGTTTAGTGAAATCACATAAGGGCGCAGCAAGGCAAAGCGAGGACCAATTATAGGACTTGAGTAAATACATATATGGGGAGGAGGATGAATCATCGAGTGAGTCTATCACATGATCGGTACAAAGAAATATGCGAATTGTTATTGTTCAAATAACATTGTTAAGTAAGTTAATAAAAAGCGCTCAACCAAAATTAACCATAATCGAAATTGTTTGTAATATAGTTGCTATAATAACTTCTACCCCACAAACAATGATATATGAAAAAATGTATGTGTTTGCACAAAGAATGTTACACTGAATAGAATAGTTACGTTCGCTTGAAGAAATTGGCTTATACAAATTAGAATGAAGTTAGTGTGTGCTGTGTATCCGTGAAGTTATATATAAAATAGTGGTAAAAAATAAAAGGAATATGGTATGATTTCGAAAAAATTATACACATAGGTGTAAGGGTTCATAAGATATGCCGAGTATAACATAAGCTTACTAATCTTCGAGTACACAGTGACGGGGAAGAATTATAGTTAATATTCAAAATAGTGAAAAATTATCAATATAAAATTGTAGCGATATAGTGTTGCGGCCAAATATCGTTGTTACCGGAGTCTCCTCTTCAAGCTTCGTTAGCGTCATTGATTCTTGAGACTCATGTTTCGTTGGTGTGATCGCCTTCGAGAAGTCTGTACTTTTGAGATTGAAAATGGCTATCTATGAAAGGTGGTTTCACTCGATCGATGCTGATTACAACCGTCTTTCCAACTTCTTCTACAGTAACTGTCTTATCAGTTCTCGCAATCACTTTGAACGGACCATCGTAATTTGGCTGCAAAGGTGATTGTACGTTTTCTCTTCTAATGAATACTTGAGGGCTATTATGTAGTTCCTGCGGCATGAACACTCGTCGTTGTTGTAGTCTGGGGTAGTATTATTTTTAGACCATTTATGTGCTTCTTCAGACGTTGCACGTAGTTGGTTACATCAGTCGGCACACTTTTAGCTGAAGCGGGAAATTCTCCGGGTAAACGTAGAGTAGTTCTATATACCAACTCTGTTGTACATCTCATATCCTGTTTGATTGTTGTTCTTAAACCCAACACGACTACAGAGAGTTTATTAGCTTATTATTATTGTTAACAATCACAGACGTAAGACATGCTTTTAACTGTCTATGCAGGTGTTTAACAATTTCGCTTGACATTGGATGATAGGATGTCGTGCGAATACGTTTAAGCTACTGCAAAAGTCGACTTTCAAAATGAGCTCCTCGATCGGTTGTGATAATCGCTGATATGCCATAGTAAGAAATCCAATTTCCGACTAAGCTTTCGATACAGACTCGACTGAGATGTCTTTTATCGGTACCAATACAGACCATCGTGTAAGTCTATCAATACTTGTAAAAATATAGTTGTGCCCATTCGAAAACGGCAGTGGTCCCACGAGTTCGATGTGCTTATGTTCGAATCCAGTATCTGGGTGAGTGAATGAACCCGTTGCGGAGCTAGTATTACAATGTACTTTGACTTTTTGACACTTCATGTATGCCTGTGTTCAGTTACGCACATCGCAATTCATGTTTGTTCATAAGAAATGTTGGCTGATTAGCTTCACCATGGCTTTTATCCCCGGATGTGATATGTTGTGCATACTTTTAAATACCTTCTGTCACACTGGTTTCGGGTTGAATGGTCGCGGTCGGCCTGTCGACATATCCCTTTCGCGCTACCAAACTGAACATCTTCAAATACTAATGATGTCGTATCATCGGATCTTAGCTTGCTTAGCATAAACAAAACAAGTGCTATTGCCACTCCATCATGGCAAATAGCAAACAATCAGGACATAGTAGATAGTGACCACCACTCTAGTGAGAAGACCACTGACACAAACAACGTTTAAAAAGTCTACAGATCTGACATTAAATAAAGGGAACTAACTTCATGGGATCTGACATTCTTCGAATCGAATAGCGGAAAGAAACTCTTCGTTGTCATGCATCCTATTCAAATACATGTGCATCAACCCCACAAAAAGAACAACGCATAGCTTAAATTATAGTTAAAGATACGAACGTGATTACATAACACATTGTGGTAACAAATCTTGATTGAGTAATAGCATTAAGTCTTTACTTTAGAAATCTAATACGGAATCACTCAAAATTGGTACCAATTAGAAATGGCTATGTACTTGAAGAGCAAACTAAAGCCGCTTAAGAGACACCTTCACGCTCTCAACACAACACGTCTGTACATCGTCAATAGTTGTAGCAATATTCCGTCTAGCTATTCTGAGATGAATGAGCACCACATTTTATATCTGGTTCTGTGAGGAACGTCCGAACCCCTATGCCAAGAACAGCACAAACTATCAGTGCCACAGAACTGTAGACAATTCAGCCTCCCAAATCAAATGAACTGGATAATACATGACCAAACGTGATAAAGAAATCAGGTAACCGGGACCGCACTTGTTATGTTCATGAAAAGTGCAATGAGCTAGTCCTCTCTTCACCACGGGAAACATGTAAATGCTCTTCTAGCCATTTTTCAAACCCGGAAGTATTTTCACTTGAACTAGGCACCCAAAATAGATGTAGTCAGAAGGGAACAGACAGTGTATTGGACTGCTTCTTAAGTAATCATAGTCTGTTCATTGTTATGCTTAATAATTCACACTGTTTAAGTAATAAAACGACAGAACTTGAAACAACAATGTGGTTACCAGGCCGGCAATCATCCCAACAACGGGAACGTGAGGCTCATCAACAATTCTAGATTTAGAGTTAAGTAAACATAACTACACAATGCAACTGAGATCATAAAAGGGTTATAGGATGTATGATCAACAGTATGTATGTGGACAAATAAGAATAATCTGCATACAAACGATGTATGACCGTTTGTTATCAAATATAAATATTTAGATCTTGTCGTTCACCCTAGTTATATCACGAATATTTGTGTCAATGACGAACAGTTACGTGACCAGATGTGGTATACATTTCTTTAGCATGATACGATGAAACTGGAGCGAGACGAAGGAGGACGATAATTTTACTAAGTTTATGTTAGCCATACTACAATACTTAGATATTTAATATTAAAATATTTGTAGTTAACATGTGTATTTTCAATGAGTTAATATGCTTTGTTATACTGAAACCTCATGGTTGAGTAATATCATCCGTTTCTCAATATAAATCAGTACTGAGCAATGGATGTTCACGATTACTGTATACAATTCTGGCCTTTTGTTCGCTATAATTCTGACCACAAAAAATTATTCATGAGTCAATTAATATTACTGGTAATTAATACAAATGTTGCTGTTCTGTACCATTGTCGTTTCATAAGAGTTATTCATTCATAACTTTTAGAAACTACTATTTATTGGAATGGTATGTTGATTACGACAGAAGGCTAGTCTCCACAGTAACTGAGTAAACTAATCGTGCAATTGGTTTGAAAACTTTTTAATAATACTGTAGTGAACGAGAACACAAACAGGGACAACCAAACGTATTTTAATACAACCTTACAGAATATCTTGGTAAAATCTGAGAATCATACAATAAATACTTCATTTGCAAAATATCAATCAATCGTCTCAGACCTTACTGTTCCTTCATTTACACACCAATGATTCTCTGTTCTCGTTCTCTTTTCTTCAATCTTCTTAATCTTCTGCCACCAGACATTTCACTTTTGGTTGATGATACATACTGCTTATATCCGTCGACATCAGTAGCACACACCGCAATATTTTAATATTACCAAGTTAAATTAAAAAAGGATATTTGTTCTCTTCATTTGAACCAGACCAATTACCTTTATAGACATTGTATAACGTCACACAACAGTTATCATTTTGACTGCTTCGACATGGTTGATGAATTAGATCTCACAATACCTATCAATATTCTATAGGACTCAGTAGCGAAGTGGATAACGCGACGGCGTATGAAGCGAACGGTACCGGGTCCGAGTCCCAGAGTGAACATCAACACTGAGATGCGGGTACATCCTGTTGACGTGTCCCAAATAGGAGGAAATGCGCGTCAAATTGGATTTCACTGCTAGCCACTTTCCATCTCTGCTTATAATGCTTGTAAATTAAGACAATATCGAGACAATACGCACAGTGTGCATATATGCCAATAAGAGACTGATCAGTTGCAGTCCTAAACATCAATGTGAAGATTCAAGTAAAATAATACCAAGTGAATTATAGTCCAGTATGTTTACTTCTTATAGGTGAGAAATATGACAAAATGAACTAATGAATTAAGTTTATTAATAAAATACAAATCAATTACAAACACAATTATTCATTAACATTAAGAAAGTTGAAGATCACTTTAGAAATCAGGCAATTTCGCATATCTCAATAACTGTACTTCATGTTGATCAAATTATCTTCAAGGACTCTATATTGTTTCAATAAAAGACAACAACAAATATCACAAATATTCATTGACAAACCATGAATAAATAGTGTATGAACCAGTATTGAGTGAATCTGAAGCTAATACTGACATCAAAATAAGCGATGTATTAGAAAATAATATTGAACAGAACCAACGCTTGTCTTATGTCAATGTTATCATTTTCAATAAATCCTAATGAAAGTTAATTTTCTGAAGAGTGATATA